CCCCAAAACCCCAAAACCCCAAAACCCCAAATCAGTAAGTTGATGAATTTTTAAGGAAAAAAACATATAGTTTATATGGTTGATAGCTATATAAATCTATTTATTAATGCACAAAATAAGGCAAATATTCAATGTCTATTCTCATTTACTTATGAATCTTGATATCAATTTATCAGCAAGTCTAATTCTATTATGATCCTATTTTCTCTACTTTTCATTGAGAGCAGCGCTTTAGGACTTTTTATGCTTAATCTTTGAAGCTAGTTATTTAGTTGCAACTTGGCAAATTATCTACTTAGTTTCACTATCTTAGTAAGATTTTGTTTGCTGCTATAGTATCGACTAAATCGTATACTCTTGATTCTCACTTCTTTCTTAAACTGTCCTTATCCTATCTTCATTTTCAGAGTCTGGCATGCTTATGTCTTTAACTGAAACTATTGAAGGACATCTATCCACACTGCTCTTAAAATTTAAACTCTCATCAATCAGGTCTTAAGTTTTTTTAATAAGTGAATTTATTGTTTCTAGAGTCTTCTTTTCTAATTCATTACCCTTTTTCCTATCATTTGAAGCCTCTCTTCTTTCTTTCAATGCCTTAATTATGATATCTCTCTCATTTTCAATAGCCTTCATTTCCTCTTAATTTGATAATTCATTTCTTAAGCTGATGTTTCTATCTGCTTCTTTTTCTGTTTCAGTAGTCTAAGTATTATATGAATCTCTGTAAGGCTCTATCATAGTTTCATTGCTTGTAATTCTAGAAGATGAATCATTATAGAGTTTTTTATTTGATTGGAACACAAGTGAATATCTCTTCTTACTGCTGATAAAGGTACCAGAGTCATCTGCGTTTTGATTTTTAACTTAGAGAATAAGGTCCTCTATTTTAATAGTTTGATCCCTTCCCATTCCTTTTATATTACTCTTAAGTGTATCTGCTAATTTTTTATCCATTGTGTTAATAAACTGAGTTTCTTCTTTTCTCTCTCTTTCAATTTCTATGCTTGAATCATCATCCATCCGGTAAGCCCTTTGCTTTTTGAAGTCCCTGATAGGTCTTTCAGGCACCTCTTCTGTCAAAATTGAATCATTCTTTTTCATAGATATTGATTAATAGATAAGTTCATCTAAATTTTTATCTGCTGTTTATGCAGCTGATCTGAAATCAATAGATTAAAAATTTGCTGGAGGGGTAAGCACATCGAAATTATCAAGTTTAAAATCACTACTTGAAACATCTATAGTTCGACTCTGGCTTGTATCTTTTTATATAGAGTTTACTCTTGAGCTATAATTAGAATCTTTATGGCTTGAGAGCTTGATTGATTAGGACTTACTGCTAAAATTAGAATTTCTCTTAGTAGCAAAAGATTATGATAGAGTTTTAATATTCTTTTTCTTGATCAAAGGCTTTTTTTCAGTATTGACTTATGTCTTATATTCTCTTGTTTCAAGAGCTCTATTGATAGTGCTTAAAATCTGGTCTGCTATATTCACCTTATTTTAAACATTAATATTCAAGGCTGTATGTTATTGTTCCTCATTTATTTAATCATTAATCCTACTATTATCGAGACTTGAAATTCTAGAATGATGAGAGCTTGAACTGTACGTTGATTTTCTTGGCAAGTCGATAGCACATTGTTGTTTCTAGTTTAAATAGGCTAATAAGAAATACGTATAGCAGAAAATAGGTTTGTAAATAAGATTTTTGACTTTTGGAGACATTAGGTCTCCTCCTTCATTTTCTTCTTGATTAGCTAATATTTCAGTCTTCACTATGTTGATGTTCTTTTCATTATAAAAAGGATTATTAGACTCGCATCTTGCTCTTAGATTTTCAATGTCTTAAATGATATGATTTGATCTGTATATGAAAAATGACTTGATCTCGCTCCAATTCTTAAACTAACTATCTCTAAACAAAGCAAAGTTATAGAAAGCATTGAGGATTAGGCATAAACATCTTGCTGCTTTATAGGCTACTCTTGATGGAGCCATTTTACAAGCAATGAACTCTTTAATCAAACTTAAAGTTATCTCCTTGCAATAATAATTAATCTTTAATGTAATTTGTTTTAGTTTTTATTTCTAAACATCATATCTAGGTGACTTATCGATGATTGAGTTATCAGAGATATTAGATTTCTAAGTAACAAATTTATCAGACATGGAGATTTAATCTGAAAGGATGGAATTTGATTACTTATGATGAACCACTGTTTTAATTGATGATTTTGAACTATAGCCATCTTTTGAACTATATGATTCTATACTTTTGCTATATTATCTTGGTAGCTTTTGAGACTGAATACTCTTTTAACTTTGATATGTTACTATATTTGAACTTTCTACTTTCGCAAGGTTAAAAACTGGAATACAGCTTTTTTAGCTCTGTAGAGTTGAAAAATTCAGGTCGCTATTTATAAACTTATTCTATGATACTGACTTGTTGATCTTTTTCTTAATCTATATCTTATGTGTTGGAATTTTAGGTTTTAAATTTGCAGTTACTAAATGAGTAGACGTCTAAGAATAATTCTAGGCCTTAGGAGGTATCAAAGTATTCGAACTATTAATTGTTATGGTACTGAAATTAGAGACTGATGATTTAGATTTAGGCTTTAAAGTCCTCTTTTTAAGATTTTAGGATTCATTAGTTAAAATTTTATTTGGCTCTGATGGGGGCTACAAAGTTTGATTTGTTAATTTTTAGTAATTGCTTAGGTTAATCACTTTTCCTAGGTCAATTTTATCTTAAGTCGGTTCTTTTTACTTAGTTTCCTACTTCATGGTATGATCTAAATGAATTTGATTGTTTTTAGTGATTAGTTTGCTTATTTTAACTTGATTCTGTTCTTTATTCCCAGATGCGTACCTTTCCAATGCTCTTGATATAAATCTATCAACTGTATTGGGTTTGCTCTAAACATGCAGTCTATGGATGATATCCATCTTTTTAGCCTGATTTTCCTTTTCTCGCTAACTAAGAATACTTTGATCATGCTCTTTTTCATTTAAACCTCGATTAGTGCTTAGTTATGGGTTGTAGAATTAAGGATTTGTGCTCTGCTTTCTATCAATACTAACACCACTTGACTTAGGTTTTGCTTTTTTAACTTAACCTGACTTTAATGAATATTTGTCCATTTGTTTTGCAAGTTTATTCAATTCCGATTAATGCTTGTTCATTTAATTTTAGATGTTCATTTGATTAGTGGATTGTTTATGTGGCTGAAGAGGTTAAGCTGATTGCTAGAATTTTGAGTGATCTAAGTCTTGATTTTACTAAAGAGTCTTTTAATCAAAAGACATTATTAACGTTTAATTTTAATAGATTTTTCAATTTTATTTTCTACTTCAACGTCTCTACCTCAAACTCTCATGGGGTTTTGGGGTTTTGGGGTTTTGGGG